CATGTGTGTCTTTCATCAGTGCCAGTGTTCAGTACAAGTGTCAGACTCACAAATTTCAAATTCCTGATGAATTGTGATAGTGGCAATATATGCTAAAATATTATTTATTTAAACTATACTTTTCTAACCAGCTAACCATACTCCGCTAACCATGCTGTTTGTAACAGTTAAGGATAATTACCTCCACATGGATCAGCAGTTTTCAAAGAAAACAATCCATACCAAGCCTATACTGTACATGACTTAGTATTTCTGGGAAGACAGATCTCACCATGCCTCCAAGCCATCTTATGAAACAACAAACAGCAAAAGTAGCCACTAGTAATTTTCAGGTACAGTAAAATGGTATAGAGAATAGAGATAATTTATCTTCTTTCTTGGACTTACCCTCAGGTGATTCTTTTCCTTTTAGCCCTGGGTTCAGCTACTTCCAGAATGGCTAGACCTCCAGGATGGGTTGTTGTTGTCGTTGTTATGCGCCGTCGAGGCGGACCCGACTCATAGGGACCCCTCTTTGGGTTTCCAAGGCAGTATCACTACGGAAGTAGATTGCCCCAACCTTCCTTCCGAGGAGTGGCTGGTGGGTTTGAACCGCCAGCCTTCTGGTTAGCAGTCAAGTGCCTTAGGCACTATGCTACCAGAGCTCCCTGCAGGATGGGTAGAGTCCCTTAAAATATCACCACATAAAGATACCATTCCTATTTTCTTCACCCTTTCCACTTACAAGGAGCTCTGGGTGGCACAAGTGCCTAAGGCATTTGACTGCTAACCAGAAGGTAGGCAGTTCAAACCCACCAGCCACTCTATGGAAGGAAGACTGGGCAATCTACTTCCATAAAGATTTACCATCTTGGAAATCCAATGGGGGTCACTAAGAGTTGGAATTGACTCGATGGCAGTGAGTTTGGTTTGGTTTTGGTTTCCCATTTACAGTCATCAAATACCTGCCGCTCTTGTTTCCACTCCCTCAGATTCTTTTTAGGTATGTTAATTTGTGGTAATTATGGCAGGTTGTAGCCAATGTAGAATGAGTTTGATTTCATCCTTCCTAGGGTTAGTCATAATTTTACTGAGGGTTTCTTGTAGATGTATGACTTAGTGTTAAGGTAGACACTTCAAGTACTGCATGTGGCATGGAAGGAATAGAAGGGACTATGAGGCTGATATTAGGAGAAATACACATCAGTGTTAAGGAGATTATGAAAAGAAATAGATCAAAGCTCTCAAATATTCCTATTTTGGAAGACATTCTAGGAAGACAAGAGTACTCAACTGAGAGTTTACCTTAGAAAGTGTTCCACTGTCTTCCTATACATAAACTTACTGTGCAAAAGTTGCAAAGAACAGTGATTATTCCCACTGGGTACCTATTATACTGACAACTAAGGAAGCTTATAGGATACCGATGATGATCCACACTTGCATTCCAAAATGTTAGCCCCTGGCACACAACTATCGGCCCAATCCACCTGAGAAGACTGCCTGCTGCCCATCTGGGATATTTTGTTTCAGTAGATGCTCCTGATCATTTTGGCAGTGCTCACCTTGTTACCTCAATGCATTGCTTCTATAAAACTCCTTCATTGATAGCAAGCATTACTGATACATTCTTATAAAAACCACCTTGAATTTTTTTTTAAGATAACACCATTTTCCTTTAAGGTTTACACTTTTTTTTTCATGCACATGATCTTTTAGAACTGTATGCTTTGTTGACCCTTGCAATGTTTAACTGCCAATTTTCAACCTGATCACAGGCTGGGAATGTCTCTCGCTCAGTGAAAGTCTATGTCTGTTTAAGAGGGGAAGGTGCTATGAAACTGTGATAAAAGCCACCATGATACCTTTAATAAACATTATTTCCAAAAGGAAAATGTGCTATGAGTTGCAGTTAATTTTTTTTAGGGTCTATGTATATTCGAGAGGAGCTCTGGTAGCATAGTGCCTAAGGCACCTGACTGCTCACCAGAAGGCTGACGGTTCAAACCCACCAGCCACTCCACTGAAGGAAGGTCAGGCAATCTACTTCTGTAGTGATACTGCCTCAGAAACCCAAGGAGGGCTCGTTATGAGGCAGTGCGACTTGACTGCACATAACAACAACATGTATATTTGGAAGGAAGACTGGGCAATTTACTCTTGTAGAGATACCAGCTCGGAAATCCAAGGAGGGGTAGCTATGAGTCAAATCGACTCCACGGCAGTGAATTTTTTTTTTTTTTTTAAGTGTATATTTAGGCCCATTTATATTTAGATAAGGAGCTCTGGCGGCACAGTGGGTAAGGCATTTGGCTGCTAACCAGGTCAGCAGTTAAAATCCACCAGCTACTCCATGGGGGGAACATGAGGCATTAATCTACTTCTGTAAAGATTTACCGGCTTGGAAACCCTATGGGGGTCATCATGAGTCAGAATCAACTTGATGGCAATGAGTTTGGTTTTGTATTTGGATTAGTGCAAAGAGCTGGTGTACCTGGCTACTAACTGAAAGGGTGGAGGTACCTTGCTAGAAAGCCCTGCTAATCTGCTTCTGAAAAATCAGTCCTTGAAAACTCTATGACGTGCAGCTCTACTCTGACACACAGGGGGTCACCAAGAGTAGGAACTGATGTGACAGGATTTTTTAAAATAAATATTTAGATTCAGTCCTATAAAACCAGCTGAGAACACTGCCTGTGAAATGCTATCTAGAGTTGTACTGGTTCATTCATGATCACAAACTTGACTACCTACACTGTGCCAGGCACTAAGCTCAATGATGAGTCTACTTCAGAGCTGTAAGGGGAGGTCCTGCATATGTCATCAATCCTGGTGGTTCCACGAAACATGACATCATATAATTTTCTGCCTTCTTTACAGACTCTTCCCATCACCCTGCTGGTCTTCCTCCCTATTTGTTTTAAGCAGGTAATATTCAGAATCCCTTGTGCCTCTAAGTTCTAAGACTTCAGTTCATCATTCAGAGGACAGGAGGAATCCAAATAAAAACTGGTCAATTAAGTCAATTTTTATTTAGGCATCAGTATCAATAAGACATTCCCATCCTACAACTTGAGGATACTAGTACTTAGAGAAACAGAGCAATGAACACAGGTAACTCTTTCAGTAATCATGAGAACTTGAAACTTTAAAAATAGGCGTGCTGGTATGGGGGAGGAGGGCAGAGAGGCTCAGCACGCTCTATGAAAGGACCTTAATAAGAAGAGTACCATTTAAATTCAAAATAGCAACAACATTTCTACATTTCTTTTTCTGCCAATACTCAGAAAAAAGACAATTTTCTTTCCAATCATTTTTCTGTCAGTAATTAATATAAGTATCTTCCAGCAATATCTAAGGAATATCTAAAGATAATAGTTTGTACGGATATTGGCTTAATTCTATATAATTCAACTAAGTAATACAGCTGAAAATGTCACTCTGAAAGAGATCAACTTAATAAAAATTATCACCATTGTTAGCTGGTATAGGACACTATGAATGGGTCCCATTTAATGATAGTAAAAAAACATTTCAACATTTCTGAAAATTTTAAGTACAAGAATTTAAAAATAATTCCTATACAATACTTCTTATTAAGCAATTTACTTAAATCATACTATAAAATAATGTTTACGTTGGAAGAGTCAAGGTAAATAATGTATAATGAAACCAGCCTCCCCAATTATTCTAGTATTAGAAATAATCAGGAGTAATTTATATTAAAAATTATATACAAATGATAGTAAATGGCAAAAGTTTTTCAAGACAAACTTTTATAGCAAAAAGAAGAGAGGGAGGAGGCTGATACTTTTAATAGAAATACTTAATAAATATGGTAGTGGGATTCTAATAGTGTTAACTTCAGGAAATAAGAGATAATTTATGGATTGAGGCTTTTTTTTTTTTAAATCAGTAGTTACTTCCTTAATTGTTTGCATTGTTCTACTTGAAGTCCAAAAATTGTGGTTCAGTATATAAAAGAACAATCAAATAAAGGTCATTTTAAAGAGCAAAGCAAGCATCAAATGAGAATTCTGAAGTTACATTCTCACTTCCAGGCTCGTGTAGAGTATGCATCTTTTTTCAACTGTCCAGTAAAAAAAAAAAAAAAAAAAAAAACCAAGGAAAGTGTTAGAACTACAGGTTAAAAACAAACACAAAGTGCAAAGAGTCATTTCACGTTGCCTTATCTAGAAACACTATTCCCTGACTCCTAAATCAAATCAGGATTTTCCTATCTGGCGGTTCAAACCCACCAGCCACTCCTCAGAAGGAAGACTGGGCAATCTACTTCCATAGAGATACCGCCTTGGAAACCCAAGGAGGAGTCACTATGAGTTGAAACTGACTCGACAGCAGTGAGTTTTTTTGTTTGCATACATCAAAACTTCACTTAAAAATAATTTCTACCAAACTTGGTTTAATTACTTTTTAACTGCCAAAATCAACACTATAGTTAGGTTTTGGGAAACCAATGAGGTATAACTATTACCAACATCTGAAAGCTACTGATCTATAGAATTTATAATTCTACATGATTTCAGTTTTTGTTTGAAAAAGAAAATATCATTTTCCCACTCTTGATTCAAATGGTTGATTTAAAACTAATTTATCTTCTTTCATCGTGCTTTTCTAGGTTTCCCAAATTTTCTAGAATGACTATGCTATTTCATATTAAAACATATCTAAACATTCTATCTTCAGAAGCAGTTTTTCATTGAAAATGGCACATAATGAAAGTAAGACATTATAAGGAAAGCAAAAGGTTGCTAAACAAAGAGATAAGGCATGAGAACTAGCTTTCCATTTTCTTTGATAGTGGTTACTATTTAGCACTCCAGATAATTACAGAAATCTAAAATCCTACTAAGCCTCAATTTCCTTATCTGTAAAATGAAGATAACTTACAAAATGAAGATGTGTCTTATAAAAAGGTATGAGTTATTACTACTGGTGGTAGGGGTCTATGTGTGCAGTGCTTTCATAAAAAAACTAAAGGTAGAATAAAAATTAGTTACCTTTGGGTTAAAGTATCTACAAGACTGTGGCTGGGAGCCTCCAAATAGGGCTATGCGGTAGTCATGTTTCTTTCTTCTGGGCCTAGTTCCTTCTACCAGTTCTTCTCGATCCTCTGGAGACAGCAGATGATATCTCATTCCACCTGTAGAAAAATACATGGCAACTCTTTAAGAACTTCTAGCACTTTAATGCTTTGAAAATATTCAGCCATAATAGTGAACTTATTTCTGTAACTTTCTTTCATCATCGTCTACAGTATTTGAGGTAGGAGTGAAGGGGAAGAGACAGGAAAAATGTTTTAAGGACCTGTGTCCTAACCAAATTATTATTCTCAACAATCACTATTATTTTGACTGCCCACCCACTTACCTGACTTCTCAAGCAATGGCTATTAAAATAATAATTACTGAAATCTATATCTCCTAACCCAGCAGTTCTTAATCTTGACTGTAAATTAGAATCACCTAGGGAATCTTTGAAAATATCTATTCCTGGGCCCTACCACAAGTAGCTCTGGTGGTGCAGTAAGATCTTTGGTTGCTAACCAGAAGATCAGCAGTTCAAACCCAGATGAGGCAATCTACTTTCATACAGATTTACAGCTTTGAAAACCCAATGGGGGTTGCTATGAGTTGGAACTGACCTGATAGCAGTGGGTTTGGACCCTACCACAGACCAATTAAATCATCATTCCTGCAGCTTCAGCACAAACTGGGAGCTCGTTAGAAATGCTGAATCCCAGACCCTAATCAGAATGAATCGGAATCTGCAGTTTTAACAAAAACCCAAGGTAATACAGATGTATATAAAATTTTGAGAAGCATTACTCTAGATGATTCTAAAATGCAACAAGAATTCAGAACTATTGTGATCTAACATGACCCTTTTCCTTCAGCAATTTCTTAATTTGGTCAAGTGCCACAAAGGGTCACATTAGATCACAATTAAAAAGTGCTTTGAGGTGCCATCTCAAATCACTGTGGGAAAGGTGAACTGTTCAATAAATGATATCAGATAACAACATGGAGGAAGAAAATTGTACCTTGCCAATTTACCCTAAAGCAAATTCCAAATGAATCACATATTTGACTATGCAAAAAAACAAAACAAAAACTCATAAATGTACTAAAAGAATGTTGTTGTTGTTGTTGTATACTACCGTCGAGTAGGATCTGACTCATAGCGACCCCTTTGTGGGTTTCCAAGGCCAGAACACTATGGAAGTGGATTGCCCAATCTTCCTTTCAGGGAGTGGTTGGTGGGTTTGAACTGTCAGACTTCTGGTTAGCAGTCAAATGCCTTAAGCACTACGCCACCAGAACTCCCAAAAGAATAATAGGAGAGTTTTTTTTTTTTTTTTTTTAAAAAAAACAAGCTCAGAATGGGAAAGCCTAAGAATGACACAAAACCCAGAAGCCATGAAAAAAATATTCACAGACTTAAGTACATAACATTTTTATATTAAATTCCTGCATGGCAAAAAGAATACACAAAATCAAGATAATGACAAACTGAGAATATAAATTATATGAAAGACAAATATAAAAAGCAACCCTACTAATTAATAAGATGAAGACCATCAACCTAGTGGAAAATTAGATGAAGTATGTGAACACAGTTCACAGAAAAAGAACTACAAGTATCTTTTTTCTTAGAGTCAAAATGATGGCAATTTAATTTCCCTAAATACACGACTTTGCATAATCATCATCTCTTTGCTTCATATGTGATTCTCAGCTAGAGACTACATTGAAGTGTTATCTTTGTATTATCTATACCTACCAAATGAGACAATAGTTTAAATAAAACTGTTAGACAATAACAACTTTATAACATAGATTTGTATTTTTCTACTCAGTTATAAAAAAGTCCTTGTGTTAATATTTTCAATTACTATAAACAGCTTATATCAAATTGAAATATATTAGCATAATAATTTGTATAAACTATTATTCAGATAGCCAACAATTCTAATTGAGGGCTTTGCTCACTTAACATATGTTTATTTTCAAGACTGATCTGGTGATCTTAAAGGTAAATGTTGTTATTGTTGTTGTTATGTGCTGTCGAGTCAGACCTGACTCATAGCAACCCCTTCTTGGGTTTCTGAGGTGGTTTCACTATGGAAGTAGACATATTAATACCTACTTATGATTTCATTATTCTTGACTTTTCTTCTAATCACAGGAATAAATATACATGCCAAAAAATACAATGTTTTTCCTAAAATAATAACTTGGAAAAAGTATAAAGGAGATAATGTGAGGAACTGAGATCTTCAAGATACTACAAGCAACTATTTAACATATAAAAAGATAATTGACTTGTTCACTTAGAGAAATACAAATTAAATCCATATTTTGTTCACTTATCAGACTGACCAAGATCAAACTGTCTGGAACACAGGGTATGGCTGTAGAGTGGGGCACACTCCTTGCCGGTGAGGGTCTGGGTGGGTACAACCTATGGAAGGCAATAGTATGACCTGTAAAAATTGTAAATGCATGTACCTTTTAGCCCAGTAATTCCCCTTTTAGAAGTTTGTGAAGCTAATGTTCACCATTAGACAATGGTTAAAAAATTTATGGTATACCTACACAATGGGATATTGTATGTGGCTGTTAAGAAGAATAAGGAAGTACAATATGTATACATGGGAACATGGGATGATTTCTAAGAAATAATGTCGAATGAAAAAAAGATGCATAACAGCAGTGTGTGATACAATTTGTTTAAAATATTTATATTTTATGCATATTTGTGTATTTTATACATGTAATGTATACACACACATATAAATGTATATAATTGTGTATGTACAGACTTATCAGACTACTTCTGACAAGATATACAATAATGGTAACCTTTAGGGTAACAGAATGAGGAGGTAGGGAACAGGGGAATCAGGGAGACTTTCTTTTCATTATGGACCCATCTACAGCTTTTTGAATTGTGTATGAGGTGCAGTATTATCAACTCAAAAACAATGTAAAAATTTTTTAACATATGCAAAAAGCTTCTGTATTTGAAGCTGTGACAGGCATTTTTAAGAGGGACAGAGAGAGAACAGAAGTTTGGAGAGCATTTTGTAGTGAATGTATCAATATTTCCATTTCAGAGTTTGAGAAGTAGCACTTTTGCCTTAGAAAGTGAAGGTTTTAGCTGAAAACAAAAAGCTAGGTATTATCTCGGCTAATGCTCTGGAGCATGCTCTCAATCAGGGAGCTGCAAACTTGCTGGCAACACAAAACCAAACTCCCTGCCATGGAGTCAAACTGACTCACAGTGACCCCTCCTTGGGTTTCCAAGGCAGTATCTCTACAGAAGTAGATTGTCCAATATTCCTTCTGAGGACTGGCCAGTGGGTTTGAACCACCAGCCTTCTGGTTAGCAGTCAGATGCCTTACACACTATGCCACCAGAGCTCCCTTTTGGCAAGAGGCCAGAGAGTAAATACTGGCTTTGCAGGCCACATCTGGTTCCTGCTGTATATTCTTTGTTTTTAAAACAATCCATACAAACGTAAAACAACTTAGCTCACTGAAGGCCTTACAAAAACAGGCCACAGGGCTGGATTCAGGTTCTCAAAGGGTGGTCCCCTAAGCATCAGCATCACCTGGAAACTTGTTAGAAATCCTAATTATCAGGCCCCATTATCCCAGACCTCCTCAACCAAAGCTCTGGAGTTTGGTGTGCTGTGTAATCTATGAGTACATTACTCTCAGCAAAGAAGACAGATAGGAGAGATGGAAAGAGACACTGAGGGACCTGTTTCCAGACAATAGGCCACCAAGTAAAAGTGGCTGATTGTGGCCAACTGTGCTCTCCCTGGAGGAGCACAAGCTGTGCTTCCTTCCTGCTGAGAGGGCTTATTCTCTCTGAGGATACAGCTGGGGACAAACATTTTGGTATCTGTCCCTGAGGAGTTCCTTACTCCTTAGGCTTATGGGAGTTATTGAAAGCTAGGTATTATCATTTGTAAATTTTTAGTAAGAACTTGGCCTAGTCCTTTGTGGTAGCTCTGAGTGTATATTTCATTTTTATTTTATATTTTCTTTAAATTGTAGTTACTTTTAGTTTAGTTTTATTATATCACCTCTTCTATTTTTCTTTTACTCTTACAGGGATACCTAAGCCAGACAAGTGATAACCTGAACACAGGAGGCTGGAGGCCTTTTCCCCATTTAGCTCTGCCTAGAACCCAAAGCCTGAATTTCAGCTGCCTGTGTGTTTAGGCAAGGAGTTGGCGAATGACTGACTGTTTTTTTTTTTTTTTTCCCCCCTTAAAAAGAAAACCTGTAATAAACATGTCAAGTCAAAGAAACTAAACAACAAAATTTGCTGCTTCAGAGCCTAATCCTCACACTTGATTGAAATTCTGGAATAATTTTGCTATCCTGTTTCTAAATCAATTCAGGATTCACATAAGAACTGAACACTGTATTCTGACTAAGATTGGCTAGTTGTCTTCAACAGCTCACACTATGTATGAAGAACTAGGTGGAGCTTCTATCCAATGAAAGTCTAGCCAGGAAAATAACACAGTTTGGGAATAAAGGCATAATGAAAGACCTGATATTAAAATGATGAAATCCAAATGAGGGAAGCCCTAATCTAAGGCATTTTCTTGGTGTTGATTTTCTTTCAGCTTTCTGTGCCTAAGAACCTAGACCGCTTGATACTCTATGTCTTGAAAACTCTCTACACCTTAGTTTTCAAGTTACCAGCCTTTGGTTCAATTAACTCTGAATTCTCTTTTCTTGGTTCTTTTCCTTCTTCCACTCCTTAAATGTAGGTACAAGTATCCCCTGCTCTTTGAAAGTTTACTTTATACCACTTTGCTTTTACAAAAGACCTACATTAGTAACTGTTTATGCTAAGTGAAAGAAATCCAAAGAGGATTTTTGTGCTTATGAAAAAAGGCAAAAAGAGAAACTAGAGTTCAGTGTTTGCTTTGTAGCAAACCCTAAATGAGGAAGCTCGCAGCCAGAGTGGTGTTGCCAAGCTCTTTCCCCAGAACTACATTGAGCATGTCAACATCAAGCCACCATAGCTTTGAACCATATCTGTGAACAGTAAATGTTAGCATCATTTTAGGTTTTATGTGTTATTTGGGTACGATTTCATAGGTTATTTTTTGGC